TCATGATATCATGACTTTCCAGGTATTAAAATGTTGCTAAAATAGTAGGAATCTGAAATTGTGCTTAGGTCATTTTGACCAAATTTCACTTGATCCTCGGTTTGATATGATGAGTCAAATCATGGAACTAAATATGAAGTTAAATTAAATTATAAAACATGAGATGAAGTTCTCCTTTATTACAATAATTAGTGCATTTTAAGTGTATTTATTTATTGAGCCATTTAAATATTTCTGCTCTTTATTTTTTTAATTGTCAGTTTGAGTCTTCCATGCACAAGAATCAAAAAAGATTTATAAGCAAGTAAAAAGGTTCAGAAACAAGTTAATAAACCTGCAGAGCCCTGCAATGTCAGCATTGACGTCTGATGCCTAATCATTTGAAACAGTCTGACTATGCTTTTTAAATTAAGCAAAAACAATGTAATAATTTAATCATTTTTGTGGTTTGTTTRATTTAGGTGACTCCGATGTCTGACAGAGACTTTGGCCGGTACAACTGTACAGCCCGAAACAACATTGGAGTTCGATACCAAGAGTTCATTCTRGCCCAGGCAGGTGAGTGTGTGAGCTTTTAACCCGAGCTAATGAGATTAGTGTTTTAATTTAGGCTCCTGAACATGTAGAGCCATCGACCTCACACCTTCCCCGAAAAGCGCCTCTAAACTACCTCATAACCCTCGACTAACTCTCAGTACCCCTCAGCCGGTATGGTAATCGCTTTCTTTTGCAATTCTCAGAAGGATAAATCTGCCTTCAAATCTGAACCTCTATTCAGCATGGCCTAATCTGAAATAGTGCTGTCTGATTTACCACACCCCTCACTATTTACTGAAGTACCCACTAATTTACTGTAGAACGGTCGAAGACGCAAAAGTGCAGTCCAATTATCTTTAGTGCAGATTGAATTGCTCTGGCTGAAAGTAGTGAGCAGAAAAACAGCTGACCTCACGCAGTGTCTTCTTGGAAACAATGTGTTTTGAAAGTTGTATTGACRTCTGAGTTCTGCACCAATGCAAGAGCACACACAAAGAAAGAAAACATGTTACAGTTTGGGACACTGATAAAGTCTAAGAAAAGTWATGGAATCAGGCTTAGGGTTAGTCTTTTTTATTTTTTGTCATATTTAAAGTTGTATAATTAGTCTTTTTGTTAAATCTTATTTGTATTGTTTAGTACTGCTTTATTGGTTTATCTGAGGGTATTTTTGTAGACACCTGATGGGACAACAGAAAGCCCAAAACAAATTTCCCAAAGACAATAAGATATTGGATTCTGTCATAATGTATAGTAAATTCAATCCAAAATCCAACCAAGATGGGGGCGGTGGCGGCAGATGTGTGTAGCTGTGCAGTATCGCTGCAGGAAAATACATCCCATTTGGCTTTACAGGCATCTGCAGGTCTGTTTTTGACCAAATTTACCTCAGCTTTAGTGTTGCTGTTACTCTGTATGCTACATAAACGGAAGATCAAAGGCGCAAATGACGGACATCATTTTCGAAAAACAACAGCACACAAGCGTCCTATGGCGTGTATACAAGCATTGACCATAAGTTATCCTAACTTTGGTAAATATCGTCTACCTTGCCGGTTGGGCTAGTTTCTCCGGCTTGCTGCTGTTGCGGCGTCTCAGTGGAGTGGCGGATGTGGATGGAGTCCCTCGGCCCTCGGATTGTCCCTCGTGATTGGACGGAGCGCCTGGGGTGGACTTGCCTGCCTGGACGCGTGGTGGTGGGAGCCGGGACGTAGCGACCAATCTAACAAGTGAG